AGTTGTAAAGAATGCACAGAATTACAGGTGAACTTTGTACAGTTCATTTAACTATTTGAATTACCAAGCAATCTTTATGGAATTCACTTAATTATTTCATTAACTGTTGAAAGCTGTATATACTCAAAATATATACTTCCTGATTTTAAGAAAGCTATCGATTTACAGAAAACGTTGATTTTTGTACTCGGTAAGAGGAAATCAGACATCTGTAGAGGTGGAAAACCTTGAGCTGCATAGTGGGCAACGGGAAGTGTTTCCAGAGAACATTCTAATAAATACAAACAAGAAGAAAAGGAGGCCTTATTCTGAAGTGTCTAAAATTGAGTTGGCTGTGCCAAAACCCATTCTGTTGTCTGCAAAAAATATTTAACACCACCTGACATATTCACTGTCACTCCATGCTCTGTGAATCAAATATAAAATTCTGCTCAAGCAAAAGACCTACAAACTTATTTTGTCATTTGTAAGCTTGGGATTTTGAAGATTGTCAGCTCCACTTGTCAACAAGAATAAGCAAGAAAAAAAATAGTGGCTTACACTAACAGAGAGAAGAGTCAGTAGTCAGTAAGGCCTTCAATTTGAAAGGGCTGCCTCCCAGTAGAGAAAGAGGTTGTAGTGCATGATTATTCTCTCCATAGTTTGTTGGATTTGTYTTTGCAGTTAATAAATAAGAACATCTAGCTTTAAGAATAAAATCTGAATGCTTGGAAGGAACAGTTAGATCTTGTATTTTGGGTACAGTCAATAAACATCCTCAGGTTATTTTCAAAAGCCAAATCAGAATCAGGGTTTGTGCTTCAAATGTCTCCAGAATTGGGGTGTAATTTCCTCCCAGGTTGTCATTCAGGGCTGCCACTACAAATTACGTAAGCAAACTTGGAAATTTTTCAGAAAGTTTGTCTCTGTGTCAATTGAAAATGTTCACCAGAGTGTGTCCCCACAGCTAACACTGTATGGCAATCAGATCCACTAGAGCATTTCACTACAAGTCCGATCACTTATTTTTCCTTCTGGCCACTGGTCTTTGCCAGTACCTGCAGCTTTTTGTTTCTCCTCCAAAGATCATCATTTTACTTTGAAGTCTACTGACTGYGATACGTCTAATGCAATCCTGCAGAGGCAAGCAACTGAATAATTACTTTATGAGTGCCATATGAAACCTGGTCCAAAGACTGTTTAGGCTGCTCATTAAAGTCATTGGTAGTTTGGCTGGGTAAAAGCTCCCTGCTTTGGTCAGGCAGTAGGGGAGAGAAGGTCCTTTAAAAYTGTGATTTTCGGATTATTTGTATTGTAGTAATTTGTGAAATTTGTGAGGGTACTACTTTTAATAAATGTGAAATGTTTAAAATCTAAGGAAGAACGGATCTTGCCGTCTTCATAACATCCCTTGAGTGCTAGGTTCCCAAAGCCTTGAATACATCTCATTTATCAGAGGCAGCAAAATAGTAAAACCCAGCAATTTCATCTTTACACTCAAACTTATGGTTAAGATAACACTGAAATTAAAACTGTATTGCTGTATTGAAAAAAGAAGTATAGTCAGGACAAGATTTTCAAAGCTGAGTCATGAGGAACACCTCTCATTGCCTGTGAGTAAAGATCTGGGGCCACTGAAATTGGTCAGAGATTTGACATTGACTGAAGAATGAATTTTTTAGCTAAACTGGCAACGCTAGCAAAACAGACCGTGTGCAATGTGGCAAATATTGGTACCTTAAAGCAAAGGTACCTTGACACTGAGCAGAACAGGTCTGCTCAGTTAGGGGCCCTCCCTTGTGAAGTGGAAGATGCTCAAACCCCTGGCTTGGATACCTTTGTCTTTGTACCCCTGTCTGATACCTTGGATACCTTTGTACTGAACCATAAGATGAATCAAACATAGAGAGGAAATCTCCTTTTTGCTGCTTCGTTAAAAAAAAAAAAAAAAAGTTATTTAAGAAAAATCAGTTTAATTTTGTTTAAAAACCTTGTAAACTATTAAGCTTCATTTTCTTAGTATATTTCTAAAAAGAGAACGGAAATTTATGTGCTGTGGCTGTGCTTGAAATTAGTGTGGTTCTCCTTTAAAGAACCACGCAGCAGTGCTGAAATGCAGGCAGCGCTGGATCAATTAGCCAGGCGCATTGCTTAGTGCTAGCTCCTAGAAATGCAAAATGGCAAGTCGGAATCTGAAGGTTTCCTTTGTAATTTTTGCTTCCTCACCTCTATCTACAAATCAGCTTCCTTGTGACTTACGGTGTAAGAAGTTGGTGCGTTTCTGCAGATCCACGATAAGATATTTGTCTCTACTTGGAAATGCAGTTAAAGTCAGCATCCGAATCTGTCCCTGCCTGGGCCTCGGTGCATTAGTATTCCACTGGCAGCTGCCTGTAGGTAGGAATATTGTTTTTGTCCATAACCAGAGGGAACAATCAGGCTAAGCYGTTCCCCGGCTATAAACCAGCCAAAGTAATTGGGTTTAATTTTAATTTTTGTAATAGCTTTAAATTAATAGGAGCAGCTGCTGCCACAGTGTGTGGGTGTCCTTTTCCAGAAGGCACAGAACAGAAAAGGGAAAGAGTAAACAATAGTGCGTCTAGGACACAAAGGTTAATTCAAGAACTGAGCAATGTCTTTTCCTTATCAAAAACTCAGTTGGTGATAGCCAGCACCATGTCTCTCTCCTTTCTTTTTCTTTCCTTTTTTTTTTCTTTTTTTTTCTCTTTTTTTCCTTTAATTCTCTGATAAGATCGGAATCTGATTAGGCTCCTGTGTGTAAAGATGTTTTGTTGGTATCTAAACACTGACTCTCTTTCTCTGTATGACTCACGAATAGATTAACAGTGACAAAGTGCTAGGAGAGATAAAAATAGATTAGCAGTGACAGGAGTACTATTATAATTATTTTTGGAAGATATGGTTTGAATTAAGAGTTTGGGCACTTTCTGCCCTGAGAGGCTGAATTTAAGCTTAGGAACTGAGGATGGTTTCTGCTGTTGTGTCAGACACCAGATAGTGAAATGTCAATACCAGATGTCCTAGACATCAAGATTAGCCATAATAGCCAAATGCAGCCATAAAGTGATGTGTCAAAGTGGATAATAAAACAGATGCTTAGTTTCTATAATGAAGGGGAAAGGGAACAAAATATCAAAAGTGCCTTTAATACTTTAACAAAAGTTATCTTCAGCTTGCTTAAAAGTGGAAAGTTATTGAACCAAGGAGAACTATGTGTCGTTTAAACATTAACTATCGTCAGATGAATTTCAATTACCATTACCCTTTCTAAAATCCTGAATTTCTTCCTATTGGTCTCATTTTACATGAAATTTTTATTGCAGAAAGTAACGCTTGTCCTTTGTTATTTCCCCCATGCTAATTTGGAAACAAATAAAGTTCAACAACTCAGCAACATACTGTTTAAACTTGCATTATGGTTTGAGGACTGGGAGCTAGAATACATTTACCCACTGCCATATCATCTGCTTGATTTGAGATCAAATGAGGGATGTCCTATAGCACTCCAGAGTAAGGGTGAATGATAGAAATATATTAAGAAATTGGAGAAACCTATTAGGTTAGGATACTGCATGCAGACGGCTGGCAGCCTTTTTTCCCCCATTGCTACTTTTGAAAATTTCATATATATATATTTTTTTTTTATCCTTCACACTTGTGGCTTAAAAAATTTTTTAGATCAATGTGATAAGCAAGTATTGTGTTTACCCCTAGAATGCTGGAATCAATTCTTGAAGCCCCGATTGCTCAAGAACCAGGACAAGAAAGGGGGGAAATTATTCTTATTTCAAATCTAATTAACTGCATCACTAGCTTTTTATTGTATTTTTTCGAGAACATCTCAATTCCTTTCTGTTCCTCTTTGTAGCTACTGAGCCTTGCTGATCAGACTCCCTAACTGCTGCTAATTGGCAAACACGTCCTTCTGCATCGTTGGAGGGTTTTGTCCTCTATTTCATATTAGCACCGAAAGGCCAAAACTGCTCCACAGTCGGCCAGCTTCTCAGAACCATTACTGAGAGGCACATTGTTACTGCTATGGCTGTAAATCTTATTATGTTTCCCCTCACTACGGCCCTAGTTTAGCTGAGATCTGCTCCAGTCATTAGATGAGACCTGTTTATAATGTTGTATAATTCAATTAGTTAGAGTCTGCAGGACCATAGTGTTGTGTTGCCAAACATGACTGGTAACTTAGTTACATCAAATTACAAGTACAAGGCATGCCTAGAGAATCTCATATTTACTGAAACGTAGACAATCCATGCACAAAAGGCAGAAGAGGCACAAAAAGAAATACTGAACATCTACAGAACAAGAGTTTGATCCCCCTTAGTTCTATGAGAAATAAAGGAATAATTACAGTTGGGTGAAAGATGTGAGGCAGACATTTGTTATTCCTTAAATAGATACCATCTTAATGATACTAATGTCTTTACTATAATTATTTACTATGACATATCTTCATTTTTATAATGTCAGCAGTATAAGCCAGAAGTCTTGAGGAGGGCAGCAGTCCCATTTGGAAGAGGACCAAAAGCCCATTTCTGTTTCTAATTCAGCACTAGATAGCTATACCATATACCATAAYAATACCATATAATACCATACCATAACAATACCATATAATAATAATAATATACCATAATAATAATATACCATAATAATGCCATATAATAATAATACCATTGCTGAAGGCTTTGGGTTGGGTATTTTCCTTCCAGTGATAATTTATCTTCTTCCTTCATTCCTGGGCTAGATGTTGATATGATATTATTTCAGTCCTGACTATGGTGGGCAATATTATCATGAAGGTATCCTGAAGCTCAGGATGAGTCACTGATGTGCCCAGGCCTATGGTGTGGATGATCCCCAATTGCTCAAGTTGATTTGCCTCATTTGTTTCAGATGAAATATGAATCTCACAGAGCATTTTAGTTCAGTGTTTTTGTCACTGCTTACATATGTTTCAATGTATGCATCTTGTTTCGGTTTTTCAGGCAAAGAATACCCTCCAAAAATGTGTATTACTACCGCTGTCCAGACCACAGGAGGAACTATGTCATGTCATTTGCTTTTTGCTTTGATCGTGAGGATGACATCTACCAGTTTGCCTACTGCTACCCCTACACCTATACTCGCCTTCAGCATTATCTAGACAACCTACAAAGACGGAATATGGACTACTTTTGCAGAGAATTGCTTGGACTTAGTGTGGTAAGTAACAAGCGTTTTTGTCAACTGCCTTGGTTCTTTAGGAATKTCTACTCTTAAACGCTTATAGAGTATAATTGATCGTCTCTGCTGAAACACACACACATGTTGGCTTTAAYGCTATCAATGGCAAGTGAGGCAACTTACTTACATGGTGAAATATAGACAAATGCCAATTTAATTTCAGATATTTCCTTTGCGATTTGCAAAGCAATGTTAAAATTCTCACGTAGGATAAATTCACCTCTAAAGATACTAATGAAAGTAGCTGAAGCAGCTTTATTGAAGAAATATGCTTTTTAGAGTACTCTGTCCACCTGTCATTCTGGGAGAGTTTTGATGCAAAACATTTAGAAATCTACCTTTTTTTATTCTTAGTAGTATCTGTTTTGCTGGTTTGAATAACAGATGTTTAGTGATCTCAATTTAGATGCTAGTGGCCACAGGAAAATGAAATGTGATGGTTTTTCCTGATACTGGAAGCAGCCTTAATGGGTGAGGCTGATGCTCTGCTCACTTTATTACAACCTTTCTCCGAATTGTTGCCCATCCTGAGGGTTCTGGAATCATGACTCAGCCACTCCCATATCAGCTCAGAAATCATCACATTAAAAATAATTGCTGAACTCATGTTTTTTTTTCCTTTTTGCTTTCTCAGATTTTATAATGCACTTGCTTCCCATTTTTAATCTTTTCTCTGAGCTTGTATTTTTCTGTGCTTGTAATGTGTGTGTGAGGGAGTGAATATAAGATGAAATGGCTTCAGCACCTGAGGTTTTAAAAACAATCCTATATCGTGAAAATCAGAATAAAACTGTATGAATAGTCAGCATTGGAATAAAGCAATAAAGAATTTGCACTATTGGCATACCCCACTGAATTCCCTATGCTGACAGAAAATTAGGAGAAAATAGCAACTCTGGTCAAAGGAAAGGTTTAACAAAAGAAAGAATTATGTTAACCTCGTTGTCAGTTAAGTGCAGTTCCTGGTTGACCATTACATATTCCTGACTGACATTAATTATTAATCACCTCAATTAGGGGGCCAGACAATTATAAAGGGAACAATTATAAGGGGAAAAGAGTAAAATCTTCAGAAGGTGGGTGTAAGGAGCACTGCCATTTTAATATTTGTAAGGTTTAAATTATTAATCTTAGAGGACAGAACTGTCATTCTATAATGGAACTGAATTTGTTTCCTCTCATTCTGATAATAGTGTATAAACAGTCACATTTGCATATTCATCAAACCACGATCTAGCTGATAAAAACACTGAGATAGATGGATTTTCTTTTATCTGCATTTTGACAGACAGAGCTATACTCTTAAATCTTGTTAATATTGTTACCAGTTGCTAAATATTATTTTTCATATTTCAGCTAACTAAACAAACATATGCCATTCAAAATATGGCAGGAAATGTGCTGCGTATAAGTCSTGATTTTATACCGATATGTACACACACAGTATGTTTTGCAGAAATTGATATGGTAACATTTAGCAGCTCCCCATGCTGATCTGTATAGAAAAGCTTCTGAATCAGGCTCCCAGTCTAATCTCCCTAAGTAACATTACAATCCGGGAGCATTTCTGGCTTCTCTCCACACACGACTGTCCTAGAACAGCTTGGTAATTTAATGTCTTTGCTGAGCTTGAATAGACAATTTCCATAAGTTCTCTGTGAGTTAAATATTTTAACATAGAGCTTTGTTGCTATCATACATCTTTAAATGATGAAAAACAGGATCCTTCAGCTCTTGCGGCACAGTGCTTCATCAAAGCAGGAGCCAACTGCACTTTGGAGGATTGCGTGCGGGATAAGGTAGATATAGAGCTGTGAACTAGGAGCTCCTCCCTGTTCTGCCCCCCCTAAAAGCTCTATTTCTGGCCAAGGGATTTTGCCCCTGGTAGAAAGCGCTGAAAGRAGATGTATTGATGCCTTCTGAGGACATCCTGTGAAGTTCTCGTGCAGGATTAGGGCTGGAGTGGGGCAGCAGCTTAGAGAGATGCTGTTTTGTAGTTGTCCTTACCTTCTGTTTTGTCCCAGCGGAATTTTACAGCTCCCTGCAGTGGTTTAAGATTTTGGGCGTGTAGAATGGTTTGACGCAATTTCAGTTTTCCGGGTTATAAAGTTTTGCACCTCTTGGAGACAACAGAATTTCAACACGTTTTTTTTTCTTCTTCTTCTTCAGTAGCAGAACTGTAAAATGCAAGTCACAAGAAACCATGCTTAGATGATTGCTCCTGAAGGCTTTCTGAGTGCGCATTTTGCTGCATGTAATGTTTTCAAGGCAATCTAATTTCTAATCTAATTTCATATTTTCTCTAAAGAAAGTACTATACCTCCATTAACTCCTTAAATGCTTTCAGTAATTCTATGAAAATTGAAAGTGAAATATCAGTATGGGACATGTAATTGTCATTAGGATGTAAACTGGCAAAGTGATTCAGAGCCAAATGGCAAAGATTCCCATTGCCTGTGTGAATGGATAACTTAGCTGTCTATTTCTGACCTTTTAATGTTTATATTCTTTACTTCAGAGAGCTATCTCACATTCTAGATGTGCCAAATGATCTTGAAAATAGTCTCTCCTGCAAGCTAGTTATCATGGCCACGTAGGTATAATTTCTACCATCATTTTCATTCTGCCATTGTTGGCCTTGGATGACTTCAGACCTTGTGCCTTCTGTCCCAACAAATCTTAAGTTCAAAACCTGTGGGCGTTTTTTTTTTTAAATAGTACCGTTAGTTCTTTTGCATTTTATGTATGTGTCAGACACCTTGGCATGTACTGGCCAATACTGAACACTATAAGATAATGAAAAATGATTTCTATCTTTCTGCGAAAGTAGAAGCACAGATTCAATTTATGTTTACTATACCTATTTTATGATTCTCACACAGTCTTACATATAATAACAGTCATGTGTAGCACTATAAAAATATTTCAAAATTGGCAATATTTTTGTGTGGGTAACCATTTGAAATTTGTTGTCTAAAGTAGCTTTATTTACTTAAAGTGTGTGGGCTATTGATGAGACCTGTACCTCTACCAGTATGTACCTCTAGCACTATGACGCAGGCACAGCTTCTCCAGTCTGCTTTACAAATTACCTCTGTCTTGGCAATATTTTCATTATTCACTCAAAAGAGAACCAAGATTAATTGGAGACAGACACTTCCTTTCACCCCGTTAGGCAATGGTCCTTCCAAATTGCAGTTGAGGACTATTGAGACTGCACATACAAACCACAAGCCTCCGTGGGACTCGCACAGTACACAGAGATAGGGATATGGAATTCTGTTAAATTAAATATTAAACATACATATTTTAAAACAAGAGGCAATATGTCTAATGTAGAGCTCTGTAAGCGAGCCAATCTCTTAAGTCAGACAGGGGATAGTGTCTGTCTGACTGTGTGTGAAACACAGATTGGAACACAAGGTGCTTCATTCTGGTCCCACATCAGCTTGGGATATGCTTTTTGATTTTCTAAGTTATTCCTCATTTATGCTGGTCTCAGAGAGATCTGAATCAGGCCCTATGACCGTGAAACAGCACACCAGATGTCACATTGCTGGTTCATTGATCAAATATCCCTTATTTGCTGTCTAAATGACTGGATACTCCAGTAAAAATAGCTAATCAGTTCTACTGGTATCGACTAGTTCATTTTGAACTGCTCAGTTATGACTGTTTTAAAGCATGAAGCAAAGAAAATAGACAATTTTTCTAAGGTTAAATTTCCCATTTCTTTGCTCACTGTTATGTAATAACAGTTCTGTAAAAGAAAAGCATACTCTTCTTGAAAAAAAAATAGAAGTTACAAGCTTCAGTGTGATGTATCATGCCTTTGAAATCATATTGGTATTAGATTTTGTGCTTTCCAATGGATGTAACTGCAGCTACTTTGAAATATCATCTAAATGTAATTTGTGGCAATTTACTTGGTCTGAAAAAGGCCACAAAAATAATGCTAAGGGAAAAAAAAAAAAAAAAAAAAAAAAAAGAAAGGTTAAGCATAGATTCTCATTTCTTTGGGATGTAAAGGTTCACCACATACATGCTTGAAACATGTACTTTTTAGTCACTGATGCAGCTATTTACTTTTACAGTACTGCTATTTCTGTAGCATTCCTAATAGACAACATTCCCAAAATATCTGCCAGATTTTAAATGCTTCTACAGATTTACAAGTTCTGGTAGATAAACTGACATGTAGGAATCAGAGATAACTTAATATATGTAAAGCTATGTTACTGTTGCAAGTTACCATCTGTCTTTAGGATGTATGCAACTGTTCATAATAAAAACAAGAATACTCTGGTTTAAGATGGCAGCAATATCTGTTTTTAGGGGAAAAAAACCCCAATCTCTCAATAAAATCATTCTTTATAGTTAATACTGAGCAAGTTAGTACACGTATAAACTACATATTCCTTACAGAGCAGGAAGAACACTATTTCATACAGAAAAATCATTACTAGGAGGAATTGCAAAAGTTCTTTATCTAGCTGCTAAAGTAACAAATCTTATATAAAGAAGAGAAGACTCAAATCTTCAGTCAGCTTTCTTGCACACAGAACTGTAATTTCTTTTTAGCTATCCTTTAAACTTCTAGAAAAAAACCCACAAAACTTAGAACTTCACAAGAAAGAATTTTTGAGCATAATGGCTCCTTTGGAGTAGGAAATAAACTGCAGAAAAACTGTTATGATCTACTTTATAACATGAAAACCTCCTGAGAGGAATGACAGTAAATGAATTATATGTGTTGTTGTTAGTCTGTACAAGCAGTTTCATCTATAGGTCCCAAGTGGCATCTCTTCATCCTATAGCAATAAGGAGAAACCTTTGGAAAGTCAGTGACCTTTCTACAGCTTTCACTGGGCTTTCTGTAGCTGTGCTGGTTGGCCTTTGCTTCATGGCCCTTCTGCTTCCACCTCAAGCTCTTCACCTCACCTCTTCACTTGTCCTTCTTCTGGCTTGCCCTTTCTCTG